TAAACAAATTGTAAAAAGTTAACAAATTTTGTGACATATATGATACACGTCCAAATGACCATTTTGGAACAAAGAATTCCTATTTGTATGATTCGTGTTTTCTACACAACCCACTTCACTACAAATGTATCCACTATGGAGATACACGTATCCGAGGTCTATCCAATAAGTGTCCAACAAAGATAAATATTTTATTAATTATTGGATACATGGGAAAAGTATCCTATACGTATCAGCGAGTATCCGACGAGTATCGATATCCAATACATATCGAATACGGATACGTCACCCCAATCGCAATATCAATGTTTCATAAGTGCCAACTAAGTGTCAAGACTTCTTTGTATAAGGTGGGACTCCACATTGTTTCTTGAAAAACTGGCTGTTTACCATGAATTACTGGTTCGGTACTCCATCCCTCGTTTTAGACCCGACTCAATCTGACAATCAGCATACTTTACTTGAGCAGCCAAACCAATTTTCTTTCCCATTGATTGCTTAAAGTTCATAAAATGTCTTAGTTAGCAATCATTCTTGTGAAACTTTACAAGCATCATCTAACAATAACTTAGGAAAAAGGAATAAAAGAAAGTGTACCTGTTCCATCGTTTGCAATGGGCACACCATCAAATGCGAGAACAACATCATCTTTCTTTAGGACCCTATATGCATGAGAAAGGGGGTTAATTTTGCTCACAAGCACCCCTGTCAAGTCAGGCTGCATTCGGAAGTGTTCGCGAAGTTGAACATTTTCGGTAGGTTGGCATGATAAACCCAGAGAGCAGAATCCAACATATTTTCCTCTTTCTTCCAAACCAGATATGAAATGTTGTATTACAGGGACAGGAATTATGTAACTGCAGCATCAAACATATCAGGAAAAAAAATCCAGCCGAAAAAGGAAAAAAGACAGATAGCTGCAGTTATAAAAAAATATACTTTATGTCATGAAAACTTTATGTTTTTCCCTCTTAAAATGAATTTCACTACACCAGTTTGGGCCGAGTTGCACATAAGCCCCGTGCTGCGGAAATATGCAGATATCCCCAGTAAAGTGCAACCATGAGTTTTCTATTGAAACTAATTGGTGTACATCGAAGGTCGAATTTTTGATAGAGATAGAAATTATGGCATATAAATATCTTCATGAAACTTAATCTCCCACTTTCAAGAAAAATAATCTCTATCAATTTTTTTCTGAAGATTAAACATCCAGAGAGGTTTCCCAAGAGAGAGAGAAAATGAGCTGGAAAGAAAAATAGTATGAAGAATATTTTTGTCTTCTCAAATTGCACCGTTGCTCACACCAAATGTGTGAAGGGGGATTATCTTCTATTTCTAAAACACGTGGGAATTATATGCGACTTGGCCAAACCAACTGGAAGCAGGACGCAATTTACTAAAGATATTCACTGAATTACAGAAGATAATGGTAATAATTTAATTCCTAGCCCAAAACCATTAGGATGAACAAATGACCATATGTGAGTTCTTGAAGACTACCTTTAGAGATCTAGCTAAGTTACATCGTTCTAGTAGTGTATGTGGATGATGTTGTGACTAATGGAAATAATTTTGTGGGTAATGCTAAGTTGAAAGATTTTCTGCGGCATCGTTTTCTTACCAACGATTTTGGCAGACTTAGATGCTTGCTGGTTATCGACATTGCTAGGTCTAAGAAGGGTATTAGCTTGTCTCGGAGGAAATTTGCACTTGCTATATTAGAAGAGACATGTTCATTAGGTTCTGACCGAAGCTTATGTACCCATGGATCGAAATCATAAACTTCTGGTGGATGAAGGTGAATTATTTGGAGATCCTAATGGATGCCACAGTTTGAATGGGGAGCACAATGAGTGTCATGAGCCCGTGTGTGGCATCTCCTACAGTACCAGGTTAGGATGTTGTTATCCTACTTTTCGACATCTTAGCTCCTGCATTTTGGTAGTGATAGACAACTAATAGACATCTTAGTGTGGGAGATTTTACGCATGTCTATTGGACTGGTTCCCCTCTAATTAATGGTCAACTACTACATATTGTACATTTCTCCAAGGTAGAAGAGTGAGAAACAAACTATGGTAGCATGATCTACTACAAATGCTGAGTATAAGACAATTGGACATGTTGCAACTGAATTATCGAGGCTGCATCACTTCCCCTTAGAGAGTGGCTTCCCAGCTCAAACCTCAACCTATTCTTCAATTGTTTTCTGATAATATGGCAACACTTCACATAATTCCTAATCCAGCATTTCATAAAAGGATTAAACATATCGAAGTTGATTGCCCTTTCATTTGGTACAAGATCTTAAGGGTATATATTACTACACCATTTGTGATATATGAGATCAATTCGCAGAAATGTTAAGTAAGGTGCTAAGTTGAACTTGTTTAACAGTTATCTGATCCAAGCTTAAAATATTAACATATAGTCCATCTTTATAGGGAGGGTTCAAAGTACAGTATTATCTCATATCATAATAGATACATCCCTCAAGTTGATTCCGGTATTTCTTGTATCATACCAATATAATTATGCATGAGTTGACAATAAGCGGCACGGTTAATTATTTTTCTCCTCTCAACAGTTATTCTATAATTCTCTCTCTATCAACAAATCCTAAAACTTCACATTTAAAATTGGAGCAAAGGGATAGCTTTGACCCGCAAAGCAGCCTGTTTTTTCAGGTCTTTTGTTTGGTTGAAGAGGCTTTATGTGGTCAACTATATCAGGGTCATATTTGGGCTACTATGCATGGGAACAAATTTTTGGACTCATGGTCATACAAGAAATGTATACTAGTATATTTCACTCAATGCACACCAGACATGTCCATTCCTATTCCTATTGTTTATACAAATGTTGTCATATACGTGTATGGTGTTCATTTGCATGCTTCTTAGATGGTACCAATTGGTGCAAGACCAGATAACACAAAAGAGAATAAAAAAAGAAGAGAATTTAAAGAAAGAGAATGGGGGAGAGGAACTTTATAGCCTGTATCAGTAATCAAAATGCCAAAATCTGAGTCTTCCATTACATAAGCCTACACTTTTTGCGATAGGAAACACTATATTTATCAATGAACAAGAAACCCATTCAAAGGCGGACAGTCGTCCAACCCAATGGCAGGTGAAAACAATCTTCATACAAACACAAGTATGGGAAATGACCACTCTACTTTCCACACGAGTACAAAAAAGGGATATACTCAACAAACTCTTCAGACACCCAAGGACTAAAGGAAGCCAAGAAATACAAGCAGTCCCCTAACCCTTCAACCTCCTCACGTTGGTCCAGATCCTTGAATTCTTCTCCAGCCAAATGANCACTTTCCACACGAGGCTGTCCAGCTTGCACTAATACAAAAAAGGGATATACTCAACAAACTCTTCAGACACCCAAGGACTAAAGGAAGCCAAGAAATACAAGCAGTCCCCAAACCCTTCAACCTCCTCACGTTGGTCCAGATCCTTGAATTCTTCTCCAGCCAAATGACCCAAATAGTAGCCAAAAAGCATAGCGCCCAAGGGTCTTCTTCTTCTATTTCCATTTGGACACCATGTATCCAAACAAATCACAGATGACATGGATTTTGGTGCCACCCAATAAAGTCCCACAAAATCAAATAGCTTATTCCACAATGAAATCACGAGGCATGCAAAAATAAATCATCCCTGCTCTCATTGTAGTTTTCACACATTACACACGATTGCGAGAGAAGACAATTCTTAGGTCTCCTCCTTTGGAGCATGTCACTAGTTTCAATAAAAGAATCAAAATTTCGTTTTTCTCCCATCAAAACGTCTTGAAACGTTTCCGTTTCCATGTCCACCAAAACGAATCAATGATTGAATATCAAAACCGAAACAACCAAAGTTTCAGAAATAAATTTTCAAATATTTGCGAGACATTTTCGCTTTCGAGTGAATTGAAACTATTCACCTCAACGAAATTTAGATCCATTACAATGAGCAATCAACTATGCATATATTTGCACATTTAAAGGCACTTTGGCTTTTTGAATCTTAACGGATTAAAGGAGCAAAGGGAGTGAAAAATCACCAATTAAAGACTCAAAGAAAGATTTACAAGTGAACACAGCCTTTAAATCACAAATCTAACATCTTTTATATGGCTGATTTTGGGTCAAGGAATTATTCATACCGAGAATCACCAATAAAAACAGTCCTTATCATTAAAACTCCTAAGAACAACAAAATCCGAAGAAAGAGCAAAAAAGTGGGATCGGCCAAGAGATAAAATTCAATGATCATTATAGCAAGAAATTCAACAAAGACAAGGAAATATAGTAGAAAACAAAGACTTCTCAACCCAAGCATCCTCCCAAAATGAGAACTTCCCAACCCAAATATCCTCCCACATACAAACTCTCATTCCGAACTTAACCCTCTAAGAAAAATAAGGTAACCCATGAGAAATAAACTTTCATGGACTCTAGCTACTCATTTGCATCCAATCCACCTTGTAACAAAATATTCGCTCTAATAACCAAGTGCCACAATGAATCTTGCTTTAATGGTTATCTTTGAAGCCATTTTCAAACCAAAGATATAATCCTTTTCAACAAGTTCCCAACCAAAAGACATCCTTTAACTTTCGACTTGACATAACCTCCCAACAAATCGAGTAATCCTTCCTATCTTCATCCATCCCTTCCCATAAAAATTCCATCGCCAAACTTCAATCATTCTAACTACCAAATAAGGCATTTTAGAAAGAGACTTGAACTAAATTGGAATATAGACCAAAATAGACTGAACCAACGTTATCTTTTTAAAATAAAGGCTTTCTTCGATCCATTTTATCTTTTCCCCACTTTCTCAATAACAAGTTCCAAAGAAAAATGTAGACATTAGGTGAGCACCCATGACCCATCTTATCTTTTCCCAATTTTAAACATATGTATATATAAGTATTATGCAAGATGTATTAAATATATTTTAAATATATAGACATGGAAATTGAATTAAAGCTCACCCAATATTCTCTGCACCTGAGAGGTTTTGAAAAGCTACACCTGCTACCTTGTCCCCCATGATTGCTGGGCCTCCGCTATTCCCCGGATTTATGGCTGCATCAATCTGTATTGCCAAGAGTTGGGTTGCACCATGAACGTACTGCGTAGGTTCAACCCTAGACACAACACCTTTAGTAACAGATATGTTGTCCCCTCCTAGTAGTCAATCAAAAAAATTCTTTAGCTAAAATAGTAACAAATATTATTTTTTTAACTAAAAAACTATGAAGTATAGATACTATCAAGAAAGTAACGTATTAGTGTTGAACACCAATACTTTTCGGACACTGTCGGACATATGTTTCATACTCTTTTATCCATGTCCATAATTAAATGATAAAATTTAATTTCGAACACGTGTTCGACCCTTTCTTTGGTGATGTGTCCAACACTTTTTTAGTCCACACCTATAACTAAACAATACGCATGTGTTGATAAGTGATTAAAAAATTAAAATTTTGGCAAAAAGAATTTTTTTATAACAGAACTTATAATTACCAAGACTACATATGTTAAAGTCGTACTCAAAATATAATAATAAAAGCAAAAGATGCATAAAAATTTAAAAAGAGAAATTGAGAAAACAATAACAATCATTTAAATTATATGTATTAGATACACGTCTAAAAATAATTGATAATTATTGACTATTCTGATTTTTTAGTCTAAAAATTCACACTAGAGCTAGATATAACAATTACTAATCATAAAGTACTAAATTCCTTATGAATAATATATCATTATCACTATATTTTTGTGATAAATTATATATTTTTATACATAAAATACAATTATCTATAGTATATCCTCAACGTGTCTATGTTCTAATTTTTTTTTAAATGTCGAGTCTACATGTGCGTGTCATGTCAAATCTATGTTCCGTGTNCATAAAATACAATTATCTATAGTATATCCTCAACGTGTCTATGTTCTAATTTTTTTTTTAAATGTCGAGTCTACATGTGCGTGTCATGTCAAATCTATGTTCCGTGTCCATGTCCATGCTTCTTAGCTAAAAACACATTCTCAAAAATGCCCCAGAAAGAAGAAATTATCCACGTCTCTCGATAATGACTTTTAGCACCAAATTGTACGCCTTTTTTTTTTTTTGGAGAATACAACATTTTCTTTTATGGATGTAGACAATGGAATGTTAGACCTACTTAGCTCCTATTAGTAGGCCGCCAAGCTTAAACTTGATTATATATCGATGTAATAGCTTCATTTTAATTAGGGAATGAAAATAATTTTGTTTAAGATGGATGACGTCCTTTTTTAGGTTCAAGTGCCTAATTTGTGATGCTATAACTTAGGAAGTGATCCCTAGATGAATTCCTCTAGTCTTCCTCTTCTCTTTAATCTCTAAAAATAAGTTTAGGCACAACACATTCTTCCACCAAAGTGTAAGCCTAACCATCCAAAACTCACCAAAAAAGAGTCATATGGTTGTTCCTAAGTATTATTCACAGCACTCAAAACAGCCAACAATTGTCTCTCTTTATTTATGGTGAAAGGAAATTTTGAGCTTATAGGTAGGATATGAAATAGAGAGTTTAGAGGTAGTTTAACACAAAGTAAAAAGCCGCCCTATTGAAGGAGGAAGGAAGGTTTCATATTTCACTTAAGTTATTTTTCATTTTTTATTGACAGAGTAGATTTCAACTTCACGTATGTTGTTGCTTTCTTTCAGTCCTCCCACCACATTGAGAGGTCTATGTCACCTTCCTAGATTGGATTTCCCTTTGTTTTAAGCTTTGGAACTGTCACCTTTTCCTGATCTCTTTTGGAAGCACTGCAGCACAATTCACTCTACGTTTGTGCAAAAAAGTTAACATATATTGAGCACCAAAAGACCCGTTTTTAAACTGTCCAACACCAATTGGAGTGTCATAGCTTTTAGGGTGAGAGTGTTCTTCCACAATTTCCATGCACCAAGCCCCTTCCATCCTTAAGCCTTGAAAAAATAAACAATGAGGTAAGGAAAAAATATGCAAGATAATTGTTTCAGCTCAGAAGCTCTATGGACGCATTTGGCACATTGTTTGGCAATGCTAAACAACAAAAGATCGTACATCAAATTTAGGCTCTTTTCTTTTTCCAACAATTAAATTTAGGATTCTCATATGTGTGGGTTGCTCTAGATAGAGCTGAAAGGAGACCAACACTCACAGGCTTCCTAAGTTTAGTCCAGACCAGAACATGATTTGATCATGGTAAAAAGTCCCAAAGTAGCTAAGGAATCAGGTACCCACTGAGTCCCTTTGTTATCTACCTTTAGAACAAAAACATTCCATAGAAAATAAAGCTACAAAGAAGTAAAAGCAAAAGAGAAACAAAAGATAACATACATAGGTAAGGCAACCCTCTTTCTAGCTTTTTATATCTCCTATAAATTACCCATGCTCCTCTGTCCAAACAATGTATTGGGGTCAAAAGATAACCCACAAAATTCCAACTAAACACAATCATTAACTGACTTCCATGCAAGTAGGAGGTAACTAGCAATGGCTTATTCACAAGGTGCACGAGAGGTTATAGCAGTCAAAGACCTATGATTTGTTTTCTTTGTTATAAGTTCCTTTTAATCAGTATTTAACTTTTGCAAATAAATCAGTCGAATGGCAAAAACTTTAGGTACTATTTGGTAAATTTTTTATTAAGTACCCTTTTTAAGAAAAAACGCAATTCTGTCAAAAAAGTAATAGCATACCTAATTACTATTAAGTCATTTAGTATATAAATAATACACTTACTATACTTTATGATATACTAAAGTGCCTTGGACATTGCTATCCTTTTGAATATGATTAGAAAAGAATGAGATAGAGGCAGATTGTTTTTGGCTTTTTTTTTTTTT